GAAGGAGTGGCATAGTAGGGACAGCAGTACGGTGGCTGGTTGCAGACAAAATTCCTGTAGCGCCCCGTGGCTTTCCTGATGTGCTCAGCATTGGTATTGTCAGGGCCCTGGTCAAAGTTCTGATCTGAAGGATGGCTAAGTTCTTAGCTTTAGTATTCAAGACCTAAAGCTAAGTAGGTCATAGAAGTTGAGAAAAAATTAAGATCTTGAAAAGGCAAGGAAAATACACAGAACATTTATAAAAAGACGCTAGGGCTAGTAAATGCAGAGAGAAAAAGTTAAGTCTGCTTTTTTTTTTTTTTTTTTCCAATACTGGGGATCAAACTCAGGACCTTGTGCTTGCCAGACAGGCACTTATACCCGAGATATTGCCCGGTCCTGAGTCTATTATTAAGAATAATAAAATATGCCATTATAGGAAGGAGAGGAAGAAACTTAGAACTTGGCAGTGTAGCTTGAAATATCCCTTACAAAAATCTGATCATAAAATGGACTTTTCTATAACTCTAGGACACTATATTGAGAAAATGCTCCCAAAGCAAAGCCTTGCTGAGCTGACTGGACACCTGCGGAAATCCCGTGAATTATCTTCTGCTCCCCTTTGCCTCTCACCCCAGCAGTCACAGGGTCCACTTTCATCAAAACCCCAGCTCCTCAGTCCCCAGGTAAAAGCCACAACCTACCATGGTCACAGCCAGCCTGGTCTCCCTAACACCTGCCCACTCAATCTGCTGCCTGTCCGCCAGCCACGCTGCCCCCTGCTGGTCCCGAGAAAAGGCAGCGCAGGGCTTGGTCCTCGGTGCTCCTCCCTGAGACCCTGTGGTGCTTCCCACCTCTCTTCACCACTGCAGGGCAGTCATCCCCAGCAAGGCCTGCCACACCAGACTCGATCTCAGGTTTCTGCTTCCTTCACACTCTGGCTCCTCAGTGCCTCTGTGTCTTCTTCTGCTTTCCTGGGAACATGTAAGTTACTTATTATGACATGGGATCCAAATATATGGAACTGCTGAACTTAGAAAAGTCACATCGCCATGAATCTCCCTAAAGTCCTCCCCCTCACTTCAAGACACATCTCATGGTTCTCACCACTTTCTGAAGCAGCTCTGGAGTCCCCTTTCCTGAGTGTCTTTACCAGATGTGACCAGACAGGTAGTGAACGCTGCTGCCAGCGCCACCCAATGGAAAGGCAGCTCTTAGACCCCAGAGGCTGTGTCCTCATCCAGTTATTCACTGGACCTGGCACCTTGTGACTTCTGGCTCTTCCCCAAAGTCAGAATGGCCATGAAAGGGAGCGTTTTGAATTGATTCAGGACATCGAGTCAGCCAGGACAGCACAACTGATACTGTGTGAAGTTTCCAGGGTGGCTCTGGACTGAAAGGTCTCCCCGCATCAGCCCTTTGCAAGCAGGCACCTTCCCAGGGAAGAGCCCCGGGTACCAGGCCCTATGCGTGGGTCAAGGAAGCAGGGGTGTCTTCGCTCTCAGTGACTCAGGATCCTTCCCAGGTCCTGGGCTTTGGGGCCAGCTAACAGCTGTGGGTGGGATCGAGCATCAGGACAGCTCAATGCTTTTTGACTGAAAGAACAGCTGCTTTCTGTCCTCACCACCCTGGGCTCCAGCTCTTATTTCCAAGGGGAAGAATCCAGGAGTGGAGCTGGGTCTGTCCTCTGAGCAGCCAGGGTCACCTCAGCCACACTGGCCCTGTCTGTGACCAAGACCTCTCCTACCTCTTGTGGCCGCCACCCCCTGGCCCTCAGCTGACTGAGCAGGTCCTTTGTCATTGGCACACTTGCTCCCAGGTGGTCATACTGAAGAAGAGGCTTTCACCTGCTGCCAGGGAGACGTGGTGAGCCCCGGTGTGGGCAGGGGAAGAGTCCAATTAGTATGGGTTTAGCCAGCTGTGTCATCTGCCGTTTGCTAACTCAGAAACAAAAATATATCCTTGCCAAGTATAGTAAAGTTGCTATGTGAAATCAAAACCACATTTAATACTAACATTTGTGTAACATCTCCCCCTGCTTTTTTTTTTTTTTTCCCCAATAGGAAGAATGACAGTACTCTACGAATGGGTTTGCGACACAGGTAGACACCTGATTATCTTTCTCTTCTTACAGGAAGAACATTAACAGGGGAATGTTCTCACTACAAACTATTCCTTGATGATACAGGATTCATGGGCTTTCAATTTAATGTATAAGACTCAGAAGGGGAAGGAAAAACACACACTGAACGGAGTGCTGAGTGCCGAGGGCCGAAGGCCACGGTCACTGCACTTGTATTTGCCGTTTAATAACAAGGGAATCACAGTAGATTTGTGAGCCACAGCCTCGACCTCGCCCAGCGCAACAAATGAACCACGAGTCATTAAGGAGCACATAAAGTGCAAAAGAGTGCTCACCAACGGGGACGGATCTTGGAACTCACCATGTTCCTTGTGTAGGTCACAGAGCAATACTAAATATTTCATGTATGAGTTGAGTGTGAAAAATAAAAGCTCTTAATACTTCTGGACACTTGCAACAATAGCAAACGTGAGGAAAATGAACCTGGGGTAGTGAATTTTCACACTCAGGGGAACCGGCTGTGGGTACTGCCTAAAAATTCACATCCTTGGGCCGATGTGGTTTTAACCTGTTCTAGGCAGCTTTAACAATGATTTATTTCTCAGTGGTTTTCTTTTATAAGTATTTACTATAAAGTCCAACAGTGGTTCCGTGGGATTGGGCCAGCGAGGATGGAATGAGCTAGTTGGGAAGCTGTTCTGGAACAGCGTGGAGCCTGCCGGTGAATGTGAGGCATCAGTCACAATGAGGATTGGCTGGACCACCAGCTCCACAGGGGAATAATGATCACCAGTGATCACAATCAGAATACAGCAACGTGGCACAATTTAAAGGAATTTTTTGGGCAGGCTAAATAGCTCAGCAGATAAAGTGCCTGCAAGCAGACGCAGGGGCTGGGGGTTCGATCCCCAGGCCTGCCATGCCAGCTTCACCCCCAGGGTGCCCTGTGATGGCAATTGAGACTGGGCATGGTGATGTGAGCCTGTAATTCCAGCTCTTGGGAGGCTGTAAACAGGAGGATCACTAGGAGTCTGATCTAGTAGTGAGACCCTGAACACCCTGTAGACCTTTCCCTAAAATACATTAAAAAAATAAAAATAAAGGAAATTTTGCTAGGCATGGTGGTACATGCCTGTAGTCTCAACACTCCTGAGGCTAAGGCAGGAGAAATGCTGTAAGTTGCAGGCCAGCATGGGCTACAAAGTGAGTTCAAAGCCAGTCTGAACTGCATAGCAAAACCTTGTCTCAAAAGACAAAAAAAAAAAAAAAAAAAAAAGAAAAAGAAAAAAAATTAACAAGAAAATTTTAAATTCACAATCACACATGTATTAGGAAATCACGTACTCTGTGCGGCTGTGCCCATGGGGATGGACTCACCTCCCCGGGGAGACTCGCTAACTAGGTATCACCTGAGTACCCACAGGATGAGGGCAGCAAATATTAGATGTGAGATGCACACACAGCCTTTCTCTTTTACCTCTTAAGAAATGAATAAGCCGAAAGCCCTAGCCCATCAACTTGTTCCTTGATAATCTCATTTCTCTTCGTGCCCTCCATTCCCTGTCAGTTTTATTTGCACAACATTAAAAGTCAATATATTAATGAGATTAAATGCACCCCATTGTCCCCGTAGTCTCGACTGTCTCCTTCGAGGGCTCACACAGCCCAGAGACCTTTTGGGAGAGCACCAACCTCTACTCCCAGGCTGTTCATGATGCTCCTGTCCCTGTCCACCTCTGTGAGGTAGGAAGACTGTAAGCTTTACCTCCGTCACTGCACAGAAATGGAACATACCACAGGTAGGAAAACCATACGATGAGAACCAAGTGGTTGGGAGCTCTTGGTGTGCATCTGGGATCCAGTAGCCATGTGAGCTGGGGCAGGCTTCAAAACTCAACATCTCCCTTACAGACACCTGACACAGCTGACGTTGCTCATGGGATGCAGTCCACAGCAAGTTTCATCGCAATAGGTCTTTGTGTATCACAAGACACATTGCTAAACCATGTTGGTGACAGAAAGCAAAAGAATAGCCACAGCAAACAGCCATGTGGGTGTGAACAGGGAGGCATGTACAAGGCACGGTGTGGCTCAGTCCACTGCTTGCCATGGGGGCCATGGAAGGTACCTGAGAACTGTGGGACAAAGTGAGATCTATGCTTTGGATGAGGAGTTAGAAAATGTGCAGGACATATGGAAGAAGCAAAGCCTACACAGGGTCATGGCCAAGAAAGTAAGGGAGAAGCCCAGAGTAGAGTGGCATGGGAAGGGAGGGCAGGGGTAAAGCGGTGGAGAGCAGAGGCAGGAGGCTCTCATGGGTCCCTGGAACTGGGGAGCCCCAGCTCAGCAGGGGTACAGAGGAGAGGGAAAGACCACAAAAAAGCAACATGTAGAGGATACTGATGAGAAAGGGGGCTCTATACAAGTTTTGGGGGTTATGAGGAGACAGCTGCTCTTGTTGCTCAAGCAGCAGGGAAGAAGCACTGGACACGAGGGTCAAAGCACTGAGAGATGTCCAGCAGGTAGTCTGGGCTCCTTCTGAAGATTTGCCAGTTGAACTGAGACTAAGCGGATGGGGTGGGAACCCAGACAGATTAGGAATGCCAAAAGAATAAATGGTGCAGACAGGAGGCTCTCATGGGTCCCTGGACACCCATAGCAGATGCTCAGGTATTCAGAGAGGGCAGAGGTGGCTAAAGAAGGTCTTTAGCAGCAACAGGACTGAGAAGAGACACGATGGCACACAAATGGAAACAACAGTGTCTCACAGTTGTATTAATTAAACTTTTGATTTTAAACTCATAAATTATAAGACAATAAAATAATTGGGCTCCTTCAGATATGAAAATTAGACCTGGTCCACACTGCCATGCTTCTAAATTTCTGCTACAAAATTAAATCAAGTCTTTTTCTCATCTCAATAAATCACCACAGGAGATAAAATCAAAAATTTGGATGTTTATTTATATATTGAGCATCCCAAAAGCTTGAACACCAGTCATGTCCGAGTAAGCAGTGAGCAGTCACCTACAGCCCAGCCTGTCTGTCTCAGGCCCTGAAGGAGAAAGGAGTCTTGGCGGGTCTCAGAGGGGAAAATCTTGGCGGCCAGCTTCGAAGGTCCCGGTCATTTGCCAAGGAAGTGCCACACTTGCTCTGTGTAGGAAACAGGGGAGAAGGGCGTGAGGGAAAGGCAAGCGAGCACAGGAAAGGGCGAGACTGACTCAGTTTGGACCTTTAGGAATTACTTAGGCTTACAAGAGTCACAACCTTAGCATGCTCATCTTTCCCAGCGGAAATCTACTTCCCTCCTAATGCTTGTCCTTAGTTGTCTCATTTTGCTTAAGTTTTATATAAAACTTTGCGAACATTTCTAGAACCTTCTCATTCTGTTCCTGATGGCTCTGGGAGCCATTTTAGTCTCCAATGAACAATACAGAGGTTAGGACCCTGGCTGCAGCATGGAAGGTCTAAGAAACCTTTCACTGTAAGACTTACCCATCAGACACTGAAATGAAAGGACGCTGACAGCCCTTGGCCACGAAGGCGCACAGCTTGCTCGCCTGGGAACTCAGGTCCGGGGATGCGCTCCTTTCTCGGCATCTTGCCCCTGGACCCCCAGTGGAGAGCTCTCATTTTCCCTCCAAATTTGTAACCTGACTAGTCTTCTAAGCCAACATTTTCATTATTTTAAAAGAAAAGTGAAGGCCGGCCAAATAGCTCAGCAGATTAAAGCACCAGCTTAGGCGGATGCAGGGGCCAGGAGTTTGATCCCGGGCCTGCTGTGCCAGCCCCGCACCTGAGGCGTGCTGAGACAGTGATTGAGACTGGGCATGCTGGCACGTGCCTGTAACCCCAGCACTTGGGGGGCTGTAAATAGAAGAATCACTACAAGTCTGACCTATGCAGTGAGACCCTATAGACCCTATAGTCCCTGTCCTAAATACAAAAAAAGAAAAATGATGTATGAATATGCTTGTGTTCTGACATTCTTATCACAGAACATTTTTACTTGTTTCTCAAGACAGCTTCAAATAATGAAATTTTTTAAAAAGGCATTTGGCTGGTGAGATAGCTCAGTGGACTAAGTGCCTGCTTAGGCAAGAGCAGGGATTGGGGTTTGATCCCCAGCACCACTTGCAGCACTAGTCCCAACCCCTGGGGTGTGCTTAGCTGGCTACCAAGTCTAGGTGTGGTGGTGCATACCTATAATCCCAGTGCTGTAGAGGCTGAAAACAAAGATCACTATGAGTCTGAGCTACATGTTCAAATTTATAAATTTTGCTTATAATATCATCAGTTAAAATGAGTTATTCACAATCACATACAAGATGTAAAAGACCTATATATTGAAAAGTACAGTACCCTGAAAAAGGAGATTGAAACAGATATCAGAAAATGGACAGATATCCCTTGCTCTAGATAGGAAGACCCAATATAGTGAAAATGGCCATAAAGATTTAATGCAATAATGATCAAAATTCTAAAGGTAAATCTCATAGAATTGGAGAAAATAATCATAAAATTCATTTGGAAACAGAAGAGGCATAGAACAGTAAAGGGAATTCTGAGCAACAAAGCAAGGCAGGGGGCATCACAATCCCCGATTTGAAGAAGTCATATTATAAAGCTACTGTGATAAAAACAATATGGAACTGGCAAAAAAGACCCAAAGATCAAGGGAGGAGACTACAAGACACAGAAACAACTCCAGATATACTCAGTCATCTTATTTTTGACAAAGGTGCCAAACACATTCACTGGAAGAAAGAGAGCTTCTTGAGAGCTTGAAAAACTGGCTCTGCACATGCTGAAAATGAAAACTGGACCCATGTCATTCACCATGCACTAAACTAAATTTGAAATGGATCAAAGATCTAAATATTTAAATAAGAGGCTGTGGAGATAGCTCAGTAGAATAAGCGTTTGACTGGCAAGCGCAAGGGCCTGAGTTTAATCCCTGGTTCTAAAAAAAAAAATTAAATGGAAATATTAAATCTGCTAGAAGATTGAATAGAAAAACTCTTGAAGACACTGGTATAGGCAGAGACTTTAGGAATAAAACCCTGCCGGCACAGAAATTATTACAAATAATCAACAACTGGGATCCCATTTTATGAGAAAACTTCTACACAGCAAGAGAAAACACCAATTGAGTGAAAAGACAACCCCACAATGTGGGAAAAAATGTTTGACAGCTAATACTCAAACAAAGGATTACTACTGAGAACATATGCAGAACCCAAGAAAATCAGACCTCCCAATTTTAAGGATACAATCTAAAAGTGGGCATCTGAGATGATTATACACTTCTCAGATAAAGAAATGCAAATGGCAAATTAATATATGAAAAAATATTCAACATTACCAGCCATTTGAGAGATATAAATTAAAACAACACTGAGATTCCATCTTACCCCAGAAAGAATGGCTGTCATCAAGAAGTCGGCCAAGAACAAATGCTGGAGGGGCTGTGGGGAAAAGGAACCCTGCTCCACTGCTGGTGGGAGTGCAGGCTGGTACAACCACTATGGAAATCAGTGTGGAGCTTCCTTAAAAAGCCAGCACTGGAGGTCCCACTCAAGCCAGCTATTCCCCTACTGTGTCATTTTTCCAGAAGAACTGAAAAGATCCTGCCACAGCAATATATGGGCACCCATGTTTATAGCAGCGTAACTTGTCATAGCTAAATCTTGGAAACAACCCAAATGCCTACCAACTCAGGAATGGATAAAGAAGAAGTGGTATTTTTACACAATGGGGTATTATACAGCTATACAACTGGACAAATTTGAGGCTTTTATTGGTAAACGGATACAACTAGAGACCATATTCATAAGTGAAATAAAGCAGATGCATGTGTGCCAACATTGTGTTTTCTCCCTAGTGTGAGAAGTTGAAAAAGTAAGTAAGATGAAAAATGTAAAACAGATATTGTAAAACAGCAATAAACTTTAAAAGGAAAGAGTTAGTGGAGTAGGGGAATGGAGGAAAGGTGGAGGAAAAACATATACTATTAATTTCTCTTAGTTCATTGAAAGAAAGGTTTGTGCTAATATTTGCTTGGACAATTAAATGCTGATGTCTTTTACTCTGAAGAACTAATTTAAAGATAACAATATGCAATGTATTACTAATTGTTACCAACCTGTTATCTTGTTTGGAAATTTTGGGGGTTTTTCCTCTTAAAAAATGAGTAATTCATTAAAATGAAGAATAAAGAAAATCTTCCAGATTTAAGATATTGAGTCTTTTTTAATTTACCAGTATTAGCCTCTATTTTAGCAAAAAAGGACACTGCATAATCAAACCATTTTTAAGCCATTAGTAATAAATGTCTTCTTCATTTCCTGAAAGTAGGAGATACATTCCTTTGAAAATTTTAATTACTTTAAAAATATTTTACTTAGTTTGCATATTTTTTTTTTTTGTTATGTATTTAGTACAGGGTCTACAGGGTCTCATGATACAGATCAGACTCACAGTGCTCCTCCTATTTCAGCCTCCCAAGTGCTGGGATTATAGGCATACACCACCACGCCCAATCTCAATCTCAGTCTCAGCACACCCCAGGGGCAGGGCTGCCATGGCAGGCTGGGGATCAAACCCTGGTCCCTGTGTCTGCCTAAGTAGGCACTTTAATCCACTGAGCTATCTGGCCAGCCCAGTTTGCATAATTTTTAATATCGCGTTTTTTGATTTCCAGTACTGTAAATGAATGCATTTATGTACCTTGCCCTGCAAGAACCAAAATGTACCATACCTTCTCCATTGCTTTCTTTACTCGGGGAAGCTGGTGAGACCTAGAAGGTTAAGAACAGAGGCAGAATCCCTGTTAGCCCCAGGGGAAGCAAACCCAGTGAGGTTTTCATGAGACTACAGAACAAAGTTGACACTCAGCAACTCTCTAACCTGAAAAAGCATATACTTCTTTGCCTATATTACCGGGCCCTGCTCTTTCTGATAAATTACAGACATACAGCCAAACAGAAAGGCGCATGCGTGAAATAAGCTAACCCACGGTAGCTGAGGATGTGAAGGGGTCCTCTTTCAATTGCCCCTGTAGCTGAGCTCTTGAGACCAAAAGAATTGGAAAACAAGCAGTCAAATAAATGTGTGTGTGTGTGTGTGTGTGTGTGCATACATGTGCAAACAGACACAACCACATAGGCGCACACATAATTCAGCTGTCTTCAAGAGCTTTGAGTTTACTTTAAAAACCAGTCAGTGTTTATTGTGACTGCTAGGCCAACATTCTGAGAACAGAGGTGGTGATGTAGCCTTGGCAGACACGTTTCAGAGGTTTTGCTGAGACACCAAGTGTGGCAGGCCACTGTCCGATCACAAGCCCCCCCCTCGCCAGGCATGAACTTACACTTGGAGCCTCCATTTCCCACTCTCCTTTCCACATCCCTCATTTAACAACTGACCTCACTCCCCTCTAGGCCTAACACTTGCCAAGGTCTCCAGTGTGTGTGTGTCTCACCGCACCCAGCGAAGCAGATCCTTTATGCAGCGGGTGCTTAGCTCCTGGCCCCCAGGCTGTGGTGCTGGTGAACGGGACACTGGGCTGGCCGGCAGGAGCCAGACCCTCCACCTCAGTGACCCTCACCTACTTGTGTCAACCACTTGATGTCACCTGTGACTAACAACATGGGCAATCAATTTTATATAATTAGGGGTCACAAGGTACTACACAAGAGACAGAAGCAAGTACAAGAAAAATGATATAATCAAGAGGAGCAGTGGATGAGAGATACAGGGCTGCTGTTAGGGTCACAGAGCTGGCTGTCGCACCTTCAGCCACGAAGTCACCAGAGCATCATGACGTGTTCCCACTGAACCACAGGCTTATGGGGCCATCACCATGATCTGAGGGGCCCAGGCCAACACACAGTAGAGCCCTGTGTGCATACCGCCAGCTCCCAACCTCTGGAGAACTCTGACCAGTGGATTCTCCCAGGTCACTAACGGCTAAGGTTACTTTTCCTTAACTTTAAGTCTGATGAAATGAACTTTAGAGTATTTTTTCTTTATATCTAAGAAAAGGATTATGTGACTGCATAAATAAAAAAGATTCCTGAAAATATTTTCATTAATATCCTTGAATATGTCCAAGTATTTCCAAAAAAAGATCAGAAATTCTGTGAAGCTTCCTCACCCAGAGAAAAGTCCAAGTCTGAGTGAGACAAACATACAGAGACATCAGCTGTCCTGAGGTGAGGTGTCAGAAGGAGATGGCGCTATTTGTTTACTCTTTCACTGTCTCGTGCTCCTTGTATCTTATAGGACACTCACTATACACAGGGAGTACATAGCTGGTGAGTGAGCCCACCTAAAAGGAAAAAAAAAAAAGAATCTCCTCTACCTCATTTTTTTTGAGCCACACTACATGTGAACCAAGAGCCTTCCCAGCTCCTACCCTGGATCACAGAAACCTCACAGAGCAGACCAGCAGCCACATATATGGTCAATAAGTTAATCTAATTAAGAAAATGAGCACCATGTGAAAATTAGTTAAGTGGCTAATATACTTTTAAAAACAGAATTTAAAAATTCAGCCTCCTTAAAGTTTGAAATTTAAATTCTCTGAATTAAAAAAAGAAAATCCGGCATTAGCTTTTTCACTGCATGCTTCCTCAAAGAGCTCGACGCCTTTCTCTGCTCAGTATTTCAGGGTTTGGGCAGGACTTCTCACAGCAATGCTGTGGTTACGCGATGCCTTGGGCAGCGCTGTTTCTTACCAGTTCAACCAAGGATCTTGCTTCCTCCTGCGTGCAGCGGAAAGGGCTGTCACACACCTGGGCGTTTATGCTGTGGAAGAAAAGAAAAGATCGTCAGATGAATGAAAAAAAGCAATCAGCAAAGGAAAAGAATGCCAAGCCCCGACACTCCTCCCTCACTGGGTAACTTCGGACTGGGGACAGGGAGTCAAACGTACAGAACTTAGGACAATTAAACTTATTGTACATTCTTTTTTTTCTTGGAAGTCAACTCATTTTCATTTTTATTAGTCCGCGTGCGCAGCGCAAGCCGTCGGCCTTCCGGGCAGCAGCGGGGAGCCCGCGCACGCGCACACATGTTCCTTCCGCTCATCCCACCCCCACAGCCTGCTGCCCTCCATCCCGTTCCTTCCCATTTGCGAAAGGTCACAGTCCCCACTTCTAGCTCTTATGTTGCTCCTTATTATTTGGATTTCTCACATAAGGGAGACCACGTGCTACTTCAGCTTGTGTGTTCCATCTATTTTACTTAACACTATGGTCTCAAGATGCACCCTCCTAATTCTTTGCGGTGAAGTTACAAATGGAATATATAATAGCATCACAGTCCTTAGAATAAAACAATACAAACCCCAATAATTTCCTCGTGTACATAAACAGCCATACCACAACTACATTTCACCTTTACTCAAGAAAAGAGGAATCAAATTTGACCCACACAATGGGACTATACCAAGTTTTCCTCTAAAGTGATAACCATTTCATTTGGCTGGGCAAGTCCCTGTGGAATCTCTCAGCAGACCCGGAAGATGCAGGATGAAAGGACGCTCTTCTGAGGGGCAGCTCAGGGTTGGGAAGCGCAGCAACAATGTCTGCCTCCCATGCACTGCACACAACCTGCTTCCACACCAAGCAGGTCCAGTGCTGATTTAAAAAAACTTCATCGCCGGTTGTGGTGGTGCACGCCTGTAATCTCAGCACTCAGGAGGCTGAGGCAGGAGGATCGATGCAAGTTCGAGACCAGCCTGGGCTACCAAGTGAACTCAAGGCCAACCTGAACTGCACAGTGAGACCCTGTCTCAAAAAAAAAACAAAAAAACCCTTCATCCAAAAAACCAACAGATAAAAATGGACAGAGGAAAATAAGTGATTAAAAATGGTTATTTCCCAAGATAAAGGATGGATGAAACACACAGTTCCCTCTCCAATGGCCCTAAGGGAAATACATTTCAATTTTTTTCTTTTTCTTTAAATTTTTCAAATTTATTTTCTTAATTGCTTTCTGAAACACACAGAGACACCTGTAACAACAACAACAAGAACAAAACACCTTTTATGATTGCCGATTTACCTTTAAAATTGTATCTGTCAGTAATTGATGACAATGACCACAGGAAGTAGTTACTGGGGGCTCTGTCCTCGCGACATGGGACTTATTTTCAGTCTCAGCATGAGGCATGAGTAAAACCTGAAGGAGGTTGGCCCAAGCATCTTTATGGCTTTTTCACAGTCTCTTCCCCACAGCTCATCTTTAAGTAAACTGGAAGTTTAAAAGGTAGGGCCCTATAGTTAGATGCATCCCTAGTGAGGGAAAAGGAGAGGGAAAGGGGGGAAGGGAAGAAAAGAGAGAGCAGAGAGGAAGAAGAGGAGGTGGAGGAGGAAGAAGAGACGAGAGGAGAGCAACCAGACACAAAATTAGACCCTGCCAAGTCCCAGGGGCTAGTGCTCTGAAAACGGCAGGGGGCTATGCTACATACACGACGCTTCCCACACTTCAACCAAAGCAAGACCCATTCCTTGTAAATTCTGGAAAATGATCCACAGGAAGGGCAGAAGAGTCTTCTGTTGATGGGCGTGTCAGATAAAATAAGACTGCCTAAGCACATCTGAACTTCAGTAAATATTTTTAGTGTAGTTTGTCCCAAGTATCCAAGTATCCTCAGTGTGTGTTCCAGGTACTAAATTTTAAAAGGAGTTATGCACACTACTGTTTGAGTGCTGTTAATCAATCAGCTAATGACCAAGATGAGTGGATAAGAAGGCTTTTCCTGTCTCTATCAAGGAATGTGACAGCTAAGAGATGATAAAATAACCACGCATCTGCCTGTGGAACAACTGTTGCTTCAAGCTCTGTGTCTGTGCACGTCACAGTGGAGTCCAGTGAAGCAGTCCAATTGAAGCTTATTTACTTGTTGGCTTCTCCCAATAAAAGGCAAGTCCCTTGGGACAGGCGCCACACCTAGAAACACCCACTGATAGAGCACCCCTCGTTACTTATCCAGCAAGAAACAATTCAAGTGCCTTAAAAAATCTGAGATCCAAGTAGTTTTAGATGGCTGTTTAGTACCGAGTAATGATAAAATAATATTACTTACACAGAAAAGACAGATTCTTACCAATTTATAGCCCCTGCATCGCACTTCTTCATAAGCAGTGCTTTCCAACATTCATGAGCAGATTTAATGATGTCAAGAGCAAAAGCCTAGTTCCAAGTCAAATAAGACAAACAAGTTACACTGGTGCATCGACACAGAACTGAAACCATCCTGGCATTTCGTGTGAAGTGCAGCACTCTGCAGTGGGCACGCTGGAGCCCCCTTGTTTATCTGCTGTGTGACTAGGGACAGACATCTAACTGCGCTGAGCCTCAGCTTCCTCACCTGTGCAATGGGCTATTGTGGGGCTCGTGCATCTCAGAGACCAGCAAATGAGGCCCTGTGGGTCAAGTTCAGCTTCTAGCCTTTGGGTGCTTTAGCTCTACAACAGCAGAGCTGAGTCATTCTGACAACTGCGTGGTTTGCAACACACAACATATTTACTGTGACCCAATACAGAAAAAGTTTGCCAGTCCCTGATCAATACCATAGAGTTGTTAAAGGAAAAACAAAGATCTTGTCTGCAAAGTACTTCAACTAGTAACTGACTCATGGGCAAGCATGTCTCTGTTTATTACCATAAACAGGTAATGTCCTCTAATCGTAAAGTGCTCTGATCTCTGTTGTCCCCAAGCTGTAAGCCTCCCTAACATTTTCCATACATTTTTGCAGTCCTAATTCCTAAGACACCTATAAATGTATAATTAATGACAGACACACATCTTGCTAGATACACATCTAGTAAGACTAAGAAAGACTGCTTTATCATTCCAAAGCAGAATATTCTTTTGATGTTCTTCCTCAAAGCATAGTCTCTTTTCTTATGAAGGGCTTTTATTTATTAACTGCTTCAGCCTTCCTCCTTCCTCCGCCAAGCACAGTGGACATTGTGATACTGAAGGAAACGAAGACGCCTGTGTTGTGACACAGAACAACGTAGGGAACTTTGGGCTGCAGACCGCATAGGACAGCTGGCTGCAAGGACAGCGAGTGGTGTTCCTCCGCCTGGGGCTGTGGGGAACTCGTTCCAGCTACGGGGCGGGGACAGCAAGTGACTCTCTGGACCACACAGGAAAACACATTTAGCCAAATTAGTCCAACAATGGTAACTGGGGACCAGTTACAGGTGCTGCTTGCAGGAAGAGGCAGGACGAGCCCAAATATAAAATGGGAGCCATTTCCCAACCCCTTTAGGGAGGCACAGCTACATCTTCTTAAGCGAGGCTCATGTTCTCAACAGCAAGGGTGGGGAGCAATGCATAAAATTACTGTTTTCAGAAGAAGTGTAACAATGACCTGGTCTTCTTACAAAAAAGAATCAATGTCAAAAATAACAACACACGAAAGACAGCTCACTCCATAAATCTATAACTGGTAGACTTTCAGAATCAATAACGGTTTGTGGAACTTATTCAAATGTAAAATATAATACGTAATTTGAAGAAAAAGTAATTTATTCTATAAATTTCTAATATTTTATTTTTAAGAAAATCTAGCCTAAAATAATAGTTTTACATTTGCATCTAATAATCCTAAACAAAGCCCAAAAGATATTAATGTTCTTTAATATACTTTTCAAAAAATATGGGTCCAGCAATTCATTCTTACATGGCAAAATCCTGAGGCTTCTAAGCTTTCATTGCCTTGCCTTGTCTTTACTTGTACAACATACTTCTTAGGACCTATTCAGGGGTTGGCTCAGCAGATCTGCAATTCACTTAGTGGGAACAATGTTTTAAAAAGTCTGTGTCTTTACGTGGTGACTCTTTGGCCTACTTGGTTTTTTAATACTTTACAGTAGCCAGGGTTGTCTAACAGAGAAACCTTTAGTCAGTGAGAGAATTCAAGTGCATTCCGAATGGTGAAGCAGCTGAGCTCAGCCATGCAGTGGAAACATTTAGGAGTGAAATCCTAGGAATTTAGTAAGGGTAACTTTCCTCCTCAAATTAGTAAATTAAGCATTTTCTTCATCTGTTATACTCAGAGTTGACAGATCAAAGAATTCTTTTATTTTTGAAGCAGAAGACGGAGATATTACTTATAGATGAGAGAATTTTTCAAGCTAGTTGATTCACTTAGATGCCCCACAATTTTTTTTTTTTTTTTAATGTGTGTGTCTTTTTCAGACAGGGATTCACTATGTAGATCAGGCTGGCCTTGAACTCACTTTGCAGCCCAGGGTGCCTCAAATTCACAGTGACCCTCCTGCCTCAGCCTTCTAAGAGCTGGGATTACAGGTGTGCGCTACTAAACCCAACCCCAAATTCTTTAAATGACAAAATACCTAAGTCAGTAAAGAACAGTTTGTCCTGATGCCAAAAGAGAATTATTTACACAAGAACTTGACAAAGGGAAGCAAGCACTTACAGGCACTGGGAGACCCTGGAAGTAAGACTCTCATCTTTACCTTGCCTTTGAATTCTCCATTAAAAGCAAAATTGTTTTCTGGCTTTCCCTCTGGCACCTTATAAAATCTCAACCAATGAACAGTAGCTTCCAGGTACCCTGGCTTGAACTTCTTGACATCGTCAATATCTGTGAGGGAAGAAATGAAAAGTTATTTTGCTAAAAAGAAAAAAAAGAAAGAAAAATCATTTCCCTGCACAGTAGAGCCCCAGACTAGGGGAGGCAGGGCAGCTAGACCCCGTGCACCCAGCACCGGAGTGGGTCACGCTCACTGGGTGCAGGGCGGCTGGCACCTGTTGTGTCACTGGGACTTCTGTGTTCACACAGAAGTCACTGTTGATTCACTCTTTAAACAGGGATCAAGGGCTGGGGAGACAGCTCTGCTGTATAAGTTCCTGTCTGGCAAGTACAAGGACCCGGGTTCAGTCCCTGGTACAGCATGCCATGCCAGCCCTGGAACCCCAGGAGTGCCAGGTCAACCACTAAAACCAGGAATGGTGGCACACGCTTGTAATCCCAGTGCTGGGGAGACTGAGACAGGAGGATCATGAGTTCAAGCTATATAGCAAGACCCTGTACCAAATAAATAAATCAATAAAAATTAAAACAAACAAATAAAAAACACAAATCAAGCATCCTCAGGCAATATGCTCTGGAAAGGGAACAGGTAGGCAAATGGGACAAATTCATTTTATCATTCATGTAAAATCTCTACGGAAAATTGGAATAGATGGTGCTTAGCTCAATCTGATAAAAGATATTTATGACAAACCAACAGCTGATGTCATATTACATGCTCAAAAACCAAAAGTCTTCATTCTAAAATCAAGTATAAAACAAGGATCTCCACTGTCACCACTCCTATTCCATATTGTACTGGAAGCATTAGCCAGAGGAATTAGACAAGAAAGAATAAAGTAATAAGCATTGGAAAGGAAGAAGTGAAATTATTATCATCTGTAGATGACAGGATACTCTACATAGAAGGCCACAAAAAATCCACCAAGAGACTTGTAGATTTAATAACCAAATTCAAAAGTGTACCTGGTTACAAGGTTAAGACAAAATTCAATAGCATTCCTGTACACAAACAACAAACACACTGAGAAAGAAAGTAGGGAAGCAACATCTTTCACAATAATGTCCCCCAAACTGAAATGCTTAGGAATCAATATAATAGAAGAAGTAAAAAGTATGTACAGGGCTGGTGAGATAGCTCAGTGGCATAAATACCTGCTTAAAACAAACTGAGTTTGATTCCCAGGGCAGAAAAAAAAAGAGCTATACAGTACAAATGACAGTACACTTAAAAAGACATTGAAGATTTCAGAAAACAGAAAGATATTCCTTGCTCCTGGATAGGAAGAACCAGCATTAAGAAAATGGCCATCCTCCAAAAATTGTTATACAGATTCAATGCAATCCTGATTAAAACATCATTATACCTCACAGATATAGAGAAACCATTCCTAAAATTCATATGGAACCAGGAAAGACCTAGAATACCAAAAGCAATCCCAGGAAACAAAGGAAAGGCAGGAGGTATCACAATATCTGACTTTAAATAATACTACAAAGCTACTGTGATAAAATCAGCATGGTACTGGAAAAAAAACCCTGAGGATCAATGGAATAGATTAGAAAATGTAGACACAACTACAAACACACTCAGCCACCTTATCATTGACAAAGGGGCCAAACATATTTACTGGAAGAAAGATAGCATCTTTAATAAATGGGGCTGGAGCCGCCATCTCGGGAACCCCAGATCCAGCCCTAGCCCAGGCCCAGTGAGTGTGTGGGAGAGCTTCTGGCTACCCTGCACCTGTGGGACCTGTCAAGTCCAAATCCAGGCACATAGGATAAGTGAGATCCTCTACCTCACCCTTGGGACCCCCCTACCACTTGACAGCCCCCACTCCACGCCCACCCAGTGAGAGAACTTCTGCCACATTCTCGGGACCCCTAGATCCAGCCCTAGCCCAGGCCCAGTCAGTGAGTGTGTGAGAGAGCTTCCCCTCTCCACTATGCCCCCTTGTCACCTTCAGACTCAGCTCAGGTCTAGCATATGGACCTGGAGTGAAACTCTGCAGCTGCACTCCCTGCAGAGAGAGTAGGTGACAGAACCACCCAGCTAGTCCAGGAGCAGAACGTCTTGCCAGAGGGGCACAACAGGTTCACCCCCAAGGGCAGCAGCAGGAAGGAGCTGAGCACAGCAGCCAGACCCAAGCCAGGCACAACTGGATAAATTCAAACTTTGTAGATCTGCACCTGAATTTCAGTTGGTAATAAGGATATAACTGCACCAAAGCTCTACAACAAAGGTCAGAAGACAGTGCTACACAAAATGACAATGAGAAGGAGCAAAATGCAATCTCAGACCCCAAGCCCACCCATAACACGTGCAGAGGACAGAATAAATTGGGAATCACACAGCTGAAATCAATGAATCAATAGCGTCTGAAATAAAGAAACAACTGCAGAAAGGTAAAGAGGAACTCAGATCAGAAATAAAAAAAGAAATCTCTAAATTAATAGCGTCTTAAGTAAGGAATCAAATGCAGAAACATATGGAGGAAATCCAATGCCCACCCAGAAGAAGTGCAGAGGACACTAGCTCAGCTAAAATGTATGAATGAATGGTGTCGGAAGAAAATAAGAAACAGCAGAAAGGTATAGTGGAACTCAGAGCAGAATTAATTTCTGAAATAAAAAAGAAATCTCTGAATTCATATTATCTGAAGTAAAGAATCAAATACAGAAACATATGGAGGAAACCCAATCTGAAAAAAACTCTGTAATAAAAGAATAACGGTCTCTAAAGAACACATTGATTTAAAAAAAAAAAAGAGGAGATTATAAAAATGACGGATTCCTTGAATGAGCAATACAGGAAAGAAATAGATCACATGAAGCAGAGTCAAAGAGATATAGAGGAATTTACAATCTCAATCACAAGCTTGCAAAACCGTTTGAGTGAAAGTGAAGACAGAATTTCAGATCTTGAAGACGCTGGTGCAGCTAGTGAAAAGGTCAGAAAAGATCTCTTAAAAACAACTAGCATGAAGGAAAAAAATAAATCATCACTTTCAAGATGCAAAGATGAACAATGTGAAACCAATAGGTATCAATGAGAAAGGAGTCAATACAAATGACATTTAAAAATATGAGCAGAAGTATTAGAAGAAAACTTCCCAAATATGAGAAGACAATCTGACATCCAGGTAACCAAAGCATACAGAATGCCAAGTAACCTCAACCCAATTAAAAACACACCGAGACATAAGATAGTCAACATCCCAGAAATCCAGCTCAAGAATAATATACTGAAAGCAGCTAGAGAAAAGAAGCAGATCACATTCAAAGGAAAACCCATCAGAATTAAGGCCGACTTCTCTTCACAAACCATGAAGGCAAGAAGAACATGGAGCAGAGTACTTCAAGTCCTCTATGAAAACAAATTCCAGCCCAGACTACTATACCCTGCAAAACTCTCTTTCAAGTTGGATGGAGAAGTGAAATACTTTCATGACAAAGAACAACTAAAGAATTTCATGATGACAAAGCCAAACCTACACAGGCTACTGAAAGATGTTATAGAGAGGGACCAAAATGATCAGAACTCCACGAATGAGAACAGAAGCACCCAACTAAATATGGCAAACAATTAAACATAGGAGAAAAAGGAGTAAAATGACAGCAGGTAAATAACATGTCAATCATAAGCCAATACATGTCAATTGTAACCATCAATGTAAATGGACTAAATTCACCCATTAAGAGAAATAGATTGGCACAGTAGATTAGGAAACAAAATCCAAAAATATGCTCTATACAAGAAACACATTTAACTCATAAAGACATTTATAGGCTGAAAGTCAAAGGATGGAACACAGTACTACATGCCCCAGCACCTCAGAAAAAAGCAGGGGTAGCAATCCTGTTCTCAGACAGTCTCAACTTCCAACCAAGAATGATCAAGCAAAATAAAGAAAGCAACTATATACTGGTTAGGGGAAAAATTCAAGAGGAAGAGGTAACACTCATAAATATGTATGCACCAAACACAGAAGTACCCAACTATTCAAAATAAATCTTAATGGACATGAAAAATATAATATTCAATGCCACAATCTTAACAGGAGACCTTAACACCCCCTTATCCCCAAAAGATTGGTCAACCAGAAAAAAAAGTAACAAAGAAGTAACAACTGAATAAATGGACTTAGTGGACATATACAAAGTGTTCCATCCAAACAGACTGAATACACATTTTTCTCAGCTGCACATGGGTCATTTTCTAAAATAGACCACATACTGGTCTATAGTTCATGCTTAAGTATATGCAAGAAAACAGAAATTATCCCATGCATATTATCTGACCACAATGCGATGAAACTGGAAATAAACGACAAAAGAAACCAGAAAACCCCCTAAATACATGGAAATTAAACAACACCCTACTCAGCAATCAATGGGTCACAGATGAAATTAAACAAGAAATTCAACAATATCTACAATTCAATGAAAATTCAAACACAACTTATTGGAATTTATGGGATGCAATGAAAGCAGTTCTCAGAGGGAAATTTATAGCTGTGCACTCACACATTAGGAAAACAGAATGGGAACAAATAAACACCCTAATGCTGCACCTCCAACAACCAGAAAAGGGAGAGCAAACCAAACCCAGAGCCCAAAGACGGGAGGAAATCATAAAGTTTAGAGCAGAAATGAATTCAAATGAGACAAAGAAAACAGTTCAAAGAATTAACAAATCAAAAAGCTGGTTCTTTGAAAGATTAAATAAAATTGATAAGCCCCTAGCTAACCTCTTTGAAAGATTAAATAAAATTGATAAGCCCCTAGCTAACCTCATCAAAAAGAGGAAAGAAAAAATTCAAATACAAGCAATAAGGAATGAAAAGGGTATAATCACCACAGACCCAGTGGAAATTCAGGTTATAAATAGCTACTTCAAGAATCTTTACTCTCTAAGAATAGAAGACACGAAATGGACAGATTCCTAGAAAGGTACAAATTACCAAAACTGAATCAACAAGATATACCCACTCTCAATAGCCCAATAACAGCCAATGAAATACGAGATGTAATAAAAAAACCTACCA